TATTAGATAGATAGATAGATAGATAGATAGATAGATAGATAGATAGATAGATAGATAGATAGATAGATAGATAGATAGATAGATAGATAGATAGATAGATAGATAGATAGATAGATAAGCATACCTGGAATATTTGCCATCTTCCCGCATCATGTCGCTCCTGGTCTCTTGCAGGAAAGAAGAGGAGGAAGATCTACTGCCAGATCACTCAGCACCTGCTTGAGAACCATCAGATGTGGAAGAAAGTGATTGAGGAGGAAGAGAGGACAGCTGGGACAGGCAAGCAAACCCCAGACCAACCGGCAGCGTTGCACCAGCCCTCTGAACAAATCGAGGCTATTAGAGAGGAGGAGGAAGAGAAAGGGGGGAAGCCCAGAGGCGAAGACGACAGCTCAGCCCAGGAGACGAATCAATGACAGTGAGACAATTCTGAGCAGTATTGGAAGACAAACAGACTTCTCTCTACCAGTTCCTTTTACCAGCCAGCACAACATTTAGACACAACACTGTAGAATTATGGGATAATGCACCTACAGCTGTTTAGGTTGTTCCTCTTTCCTCTTTTTTTTTAAAAAAACAACAACCACAGTGAGGTACCTTGTTTAAACTGCTGGGTGCAAAAATAAGCTTTCACTCTGCAGCACCGACTTTTACAGACTTTCATATGGGATGAGGAATTATAAATNGGGTTTATCAGCTGCGTAGTATTTCTTTCGGGGTTTTTTTTAAGAACGATATATTATGATAACTGTGATATACAAGAAGAAGAGAAAGGAAAATGTTGTGAATGAGAAGCGTGTCCACGGTGAAGTGAGTAAAGGCCGTCTTACTGTTGTTCTTGGATTTTGTGATGCGGTGCCGTCGATAGTACTGATAAAATATTATCTGCCTTCATAGATGTGCAGTATTTCTTTCGGGGTTTTTTTTAAGAACGATATATTATGATAACTGTGATATACAAGAAGAAGAGAAAGGAAAATGTTGTGAATGAGAAGCGTGTCCACGGTGAAGTGAGTAAAGGCCGTCTTACTGTTGTTCTTGGATTTTGTGATGCGGTGCCGTCGATAGTACTGATAAAATATTATCTGCCTTCATAGATGTGCAGGCGGGAGGGGTGTGAGCGCACACAGCACAAACATGGGAGTGCACCACTGAGTAAACAGATGTAATACTGCAGCATGAGCTGGTCGTGGCAGTAGTATATGCTATCACAACTCAACCCTCAGACTTTCACAGAAGTAACGACCCTGCAATAGTGTCTTCTTTTTCCTCCATAACTGGGATCCAGTATCTTTCTCAGCCTTGGAAAGGCTGGTGTTGAAGCACTCCTTTCTGCCCTTCTTCCACACAACTGAGTAGTATCCAGATAGATGTGACCTAGAGCAGCTTCAGGTTCGGCCAAACAAGAGCCTCCAGCTACATGAGCAGTCTCTCCTATAGCTGCTTGGTCACTCTTGGCTGCCATTTCTGGAAAGGTGCATCCATTGAGAAGCTGCTCAACCTGTATCCACATCTACAGACTGTGCAATGCTACTTTCACTAGCTCTCCTCTCCCTTTTTTCCTCCCTTTTCTTCCCCACGTTGTAGTCAAGCACCACCAGTTGTGATTTGAGAGTATGGAAGCACGTGGCTGTGTTGTCCAAAGGATTCCCAGTTCTCTGCCGTGGAAAGCACCAAAGGAGACCTGCATTGCTTCCTCAATTACATCCATTTATAATAATTACATTATTTCTTATGATCTCTGTGCTTATGAAAGAGGAGAGACCACATTTAGCTAGGCTCTTTTTAATGCTGAATATCGACTTGGAAGGTTTGGTCCTGGCTTATCTTGATTTTTAATTGGAATAGGTAAAAGGGCCATAAGATCTGACACCTAGTGATCTAGATCAGTGGGTGTTCCACTTAATAGTTTCAGGGAACATATTCTATATTGATCTGTTTGTGATAAACCTTTTGGTGAGATCGAAACAACTTGGACAAAACGTTGTCCGCTCCTCTGTGTTGTTCCATGTGAAGTAAGGCTATGCCCCAGAACTTCTCTGTGGCTGGATACTGCAGAAGAACTTCTCTAATTAGCAGCACTTGGAGGCCTTCTAAAATTGGGACTTAATTGGACTTTGCTGGGCAGTAGAAGGGTCGTCATTGTAGTTATCATGGATCTCTTTGCCAAAGTAATGTGTTTTGGTCGGCATTATTAGCACCTGATATGTATTGCGGCTGGTGGTGTGCCAGAAAAATATAAGGAAACACTCTCCTGTTCCCCCTAGTGGCCAACTCTGAAATCACACATTGAAAATATTAATTGGAGAATGGCATAAAACCTGAACATTTCCATCTAATTGTTCTTAAAAATACATTCAAAACCCTTTAAAAATAACTTGTGAAAAGAAATAGGAATGTTATTTGTTGCACAAAAAAGCAACTTTTAAAGTATTCATTACATTAGTTTTGAAATGTAACTTAATGATGTTACTTATACCGTCATTATTTTTTTGAAAAACTTAACTGTTTTGCTCATAACTAGTTTCTTCCAAGCTCTGATAATTATGGGCAAGCTGTTTTTTGGATATACATCAATCTTTTATGATCTAGCGTTTAAGCAACCCTGTGAAAAATTTCGAAGGATCTCAGGTTTCTCCAGAATTTAGTTAGGAAACCACTGATCTAGATGAGCAGGTTCAAGTTCTGGAATGCACCTGCAGCAAACAGAAGACCAAGAAAAGTGAATGCTGCCCTTTCAGTGCAGGAATTAATTGTGTCATTGCTTTCAGTGGAAGCTTTTCACTAGGTTTTAGACGACCATGTCATGTTTCATTAAAAGGACCTGTGTAGGATAAGTTCTCATTGGACTTTTCCATGGGACAAGTGCCATGTATAATGTCAGAAGACCTCCAGAAAGCTCCTGAAGCATTGTGAATATACATTTGTGTGCATATGTGTGCGGAGATAGTATGAATTTAGTATGAACTGAATACACATTGTAACTGTCCCTCCCTCCCTCCTGTTTCTTATTATGTTTTCTAATGCGGGTGATGGGAAGTTTTATTTTCAAAAGGTGATTTCATTCTTGACCTTTGAATGCAGATGGGAGATACGGAATTGCCTGCGACCTTTGATGTCAAAATAGAACTCTTCTGCAGTGCTTAAATTGAGGAGCATAGATGCTTATTATCCATCCTGATTGAGTACCTCGTTACTAAAAACAGAGTTAGGACATGGAATTTTACAGCTGGAAGGCTGCAGGGGGGCAGGTTTATTCCGGTGAGTTGCTTGATCCCTTATCGGTGCAGCCTTATCTTTGGGATTTGATTTTTGTCATCAAAAGCAAACAGAAGGCCAGCTCTTTCTTGGTCACAGCATAGGATTTCTTTGGTTGATTTATGTATCAATTAAAACTTTGCCTGCCAGTGATTTTGTTTATCTGTCTGTAAATATGGAGACTTTGGGAGATTGTATAGATAATAAAAGGGAAATGGTATGTTTTTGTAAAGATAACTTTTAAAAAAAAACAGTTTTTTTATAAAATATTATAAACTGCCACCTTTGACAAAGAAGACCTTGCATAATTAGTAGGCCTATAAGATTATTAGCATCAGCCATCATCATCTGGATTAAGGTTGATCCCTGACACTCAGCAGCAGAGACTGACCATCAGTCACTGTCCAAATGAGTTTTTATAGTACAAAATGTGAAGGGATAATTTGCTTTTATAACGAAACGTGTGCGCTTAGTCACTGTGCTAGGCTAATACTATGATTCTCAGATAGATAGATTGATAGATAGATATATGTATACACACATACATACACCAACCCAGGATCAAAACTTTTTAAGGCTCTTGCTTTGAGAATGTTTTATTTTACCCTCATTCTGCTTTCCTTCGTCTTGCTTCTCATAGGCTTCCTGGCTTCACAGTTTGCAGAATTGCCAGCATGGCAGCCATCAGTGAGCAACTTAAAGATTTATCAAGGGCATAGGATTTTAGCTCCAGAGTTCATTGTCTTTGACATCCTACCAGTAGGATAAAATCAGGGGCAAAAGTAAGAGAAAGCTGCAGGCTGGGGTTGATTGATAAGCAATTGACTCTCAAATACAATTCCTCTTAATAGGGAGATGTCTCTGGATTCTTGAAAGGGGTAGTAGCAGGCCGAGAGAGACGCACGGAATTAACCTCAGCGATATATCTAGCAGTTCTGGTGCTTTGATGCCGTATTAGTTAAGCTTCTGTCACATAAGAATCACATATACAGGAAAGGGACAGGGACATACAGTTAAACACCCACATCTGAGCATGCATTAGACATGTTGGTTCTACGTTAGGCTGATCTGTTTTGTGTTTCCTTTTTCCCGGGGAGGAGAAGCTGCAGATGGGATACAGGCTTGAAACAGGCAGGCTCATTCCCTTTGAGCAATAAATGCCTACCAGTAGATTTCTGACCTGGACCCTTTAAATTTTGATGCCGTGGGTTTTGACCCAGTTTCCCTGCCCCATTTAGGAGCCCTGTAATGCAGTAGTCCTGCAGTCAAGACTCTGCTCACCACTCCGCTCATCCCCGTTTCCAACCCATAGAGCCAGCGTTTGTCCGCAGACAATCCTCCGTGGTCACGTGGCCAGCGCGACTAGACACAGAATGCCGTTTACCTTCCCACCGAAGTGGTACCTATTTATCTACTCGCATTTTTGCATGCTTTCGAACCGCTAGGTTGGCGGGAGCTGGGACAAGCGACGGGGGCTCACTCCATCACGTGGATTCGATCTTACGCCTGCAGGTCTCCTGACCTTGCAGCACAGAGGCTTCTGCGGTTTAACCCGCAGCGCCACCATGAGGTTCAGTCCTAATGGGCTCAGGTAGCTAGTTTGAGGTTAGCTCAGCCCTCCATCCTTCTGAGATTCGTAATGAGTACCCAGCTGGAGGAGAGGGGGGGATATGTAGCCTGCATATTTAAAAACATTGTAAACTGCCCACAGAGGGCTTTAAGCACTACGGGGCAGTATATAAACAACACACTTCGCCTTTGCTTTTATGGTTCTAGATGAGCTGCACTGGATACCTACAGCTAAGATTCTTCCCATCCTTCCCTGGTCATCCCAAACTGTCAAGTGTAGACAAGAAGCACATGTGTCATACAGGTTGTGAGAGAGTATCTTCTATGGAGTCTGTGCTCCATGCCTGTGTACTTGATGGAGAACCCAAGTTGGTTATTACATTAATAAGTAGAATGACCCATATTTCCAGCCTAGTTGTTACATCTCTAACATCCAACCATGAATTTAGGACCACCCCTTTCTATGTGATTTTAGTGTTTCTTTTGCCTCTGAAGTTATGGTTACCTGGCTTCCTTCTCGTTGGGATTTTGAAATCTACCCTTGATATGGAAGTATTTTTTATCAACTACGTGTGTGTTGTAGAAGGTGTAGAATTCTGTCTTAAATGACCTATACCAGCTGGGAGCTGTCATTGTTCTAATCCTCCTTTTCTCATCCTTTTATTCACCCAGTTTATTATACAAAGAAGTTTTTTTTCCCCATGCAGTAATAAATCCATTGCCATTTTATCCCTATGTTTTCATGTCTAGCTGTTAGGGCCACATGAATCTGTATTATATGCAATCAAAGACTTGGTCTGTCCGATTTAGTGTTCCCAACTCAGCAACCATTCTCAGGAAGAACAACCTTCA